AGGAGAAATTAGTTTAGTAGATCTAAAAACAGCCTCTCTTCATGTTGGGGTATTTATTATCAGTTGTTATGAGAATACATATACGGTTATATATATATATATATATACATGAGCCTTGCAATTACTGTACCCTATGACGAATCAAGTAAAAGGTTCTGGTTTCATCAGGAGACCAGATATTTATGTTTTAGGGCCAGATGTGGCCCACTGACAGGCCATCAGGGTTTCATTATATCTTCATCGTCCATTTTGGAAGTGAGTATTTTAACTGTTGCTTATAAATCAGCATCTAAATATTTGACTTTCTGTAACCATTAGAATTACCAAAGCTGGTTAATGCTGGTTAAAGCTGGTTACATTAAAGGTCCATATAGTCTAAAGCAGGGATGCCATGGTTACGGCCCACGGGCCGGATACGGCCCGATTGAACATCACATCCGGCCCGTGGGTTGATATGGGAGAGTTTTATTTTTATTTAAATCTAATGTTTTATTTTTTATTTTAATTTTGGTGGAACCCGTCAGTTGCATAGACTGCCTGGTGTGACTTTGAGCATGGAGCGGGAGACAAACAGCGCAGTGAGCCCCCCCTCCTCCCCTCGTGCGCGGACGATATAGCCAACCAGTGAAGGAGACATCGCCCATCCCTAAGCTTACATTGCTTGCACAAAACTTTTGATCAGCACTCAGCATTTGTTTATTGTTGTTGTTCATTTAGACTAGTATGCACAGAGAGCGTGAGGGGGCGGGCGAGACAGAGAGAGAGAGAGAGAGAGTGCGAGCGAGCAAGTGTGAGAGCTAGAGTGAGCTCTGCGGTCTTGGCCATTAGTTCATGTTATTTTTATGTAGGTAATATGTTGTCAAATATGTTTAAACTTAAATAAACTAGCCTACCTATACAGTAGTTATGTCTCGATGTATTAGTTTGTCCTGGTATTGATGTGATGCGCGTCATTGAATAATGCGCAAATAGATATTCAAATAGTTTGAATATATGTGTTTTTTAGAGGGAATATTCGAACGTCATTTTTGAGCAGTTTTGACAGCCCTAGCATGGATAGGACAATGTTACGTTTTCAGAGGGTACTGTAACTTGCTTTAGGCTTCTATGTAATTGTAGGCCTCATTGTGAGGCTATTGTGGTGCCATTGCAATTTCTTTTTGATGTGTAGGCCTTAATGAATAATTTCAAACAGTGATGTTGAGTCAGTGTTTGGTCTTTTCAGTTCAAAAGTGTAATTCGGCCCGCTGAGGTCTCACTTGAAAAAAATCTGGCCCCCTGACCAATTTCACCCTGGCATCCCTGGTCTAAAGGTAGATGTCCATGTGCTGTTTGATTATAAAGCAGATCTTGGTTCTATATTAATACTGTGAAAGTATCAAAGCGCTCAGTCCACAGAGAAATGCACACAGCCTGTATTCAGAAACTGAGCCTAAAAACAAGCTGTCAGGACTTCTGTGACTTTGTGACATCACAACAAAGCAGCCACTGCTCTCAGCCATACACCAAGTCCCGCCCACCTGGACCCACCACCCAACCTTGCAGGATTTGGTTTCTCTGAGTGTTTACCTGAAATCTGCTATATTTCTTATACATCAGAGGCGCAGAGCCTCAGCCTGATTGGCTCACCGATGTGTTACTAGAGCTCCAGAGAGAAGCCTGAGAGAGGAGATGTAAAACTACATTGAGATGGTTTTTATATATCTTTAATGTATAACACTTCAAATAAAACACAGGAAAAGTGTAAAATATGGATCCTTAAAGAATAAAACCTACCAACAAAGCTAAACTCTGACTGAACTTTTGGATTCTTGAGTCCATTTTACTGCTACATGTTTTGAATGGAGGATCTGTTCCTCTGTATATAGTAATATTGATTCTTAAATAGTAACTTAACAGTAGCCTGTTTGAATTCATTCAGATCCAGAGTAACGTCTGTTTTCTTGAGAGTGATCGTGGTGTTGGCTTGTGTTGTTTGGCATGGACTACAAGGTGATGTGTTTGATTTCTAACACATTTTGGAATTACTTAATTTTCTCTGGAAAAAGGCGAAGATCCGCCGATGCAGTGAAAACCAGACATCAGTCAAGTGTTTGACTGCGAACACTCGTCTACTTTAGCCTCAGTGAGATGCCGAGCACGAGATCCAATGTCTTTCCATTTTCTTTCCTTACAGTGAATGCAGGACTTGATTAGTTCCATACTAAACCTCTGTAGCTGGCTACTTGTTGAGTATAATTGACAACCAGCTTCGTCTTTGTTCCCTTTACCCTCCACCGTTTATCTGTGCAGCACAGGATTCGCTCATCTGTGAATATTCATGTGTGTTCAGACCTTCTTTAGATTACAGAAGATTTAGGTTTGCCCTTGTTCCTCCACTGAATGGGAAACAGCTGAAATTTCAAAATGCTGTTGTTTAAATCTCAGTGCTATTAGATACCAGCATACACACACACACACACACACGCACACTCATGTACAGACCAAAGAAAGCGCTAAATCGATCAGGAGGGAATTTGGGGCTCGCCGCGCTGGCCGCGGATCCGTGAGGTTCCAGTAATTTCACTGTCTCCTGTTTCATTCAGAAGCAACTGTTACGTGTGAGTTTCATAAGCATTCTTATGTCACGGCTCATGAGGCTGTGACGTGACGCTAATCTAGCCCAGCACCACCAGGGGAAACGGCTACTTTATACTGGCTCTCGACCACACCGGACCACTTGGCGAACTTTGCAGATTTCCATCTTCAATTGTTATTCTTCTCTCACTGCTTTGCAGCTCCTTCTTGTCTCTCATTTCTATTATTTTAAACATTTGCTCATTAAATAAAAGAAGAAATCATGCCATGATAATCACAGGGTCTGAGCCAGAGGAGCTGGAACGATTAGTGGATTAGTTGATTGACAGAAAATTAATTGGCAGCTGTTTTTATAAAATTGAGCTGTTCCCACTCCTCTAATGTAAGGGTTCTCTGTTTTTATAATTGAAAGCTTCATATTTTGCAGTATTAGACTCTTGATTGCACCAAAAAAGAACATTTGAAGGCTTCACCCTGGGCTCCAGAAAGCTGTGATGGGCATTTCCTGACATTTAATAATCCAAACAACTAATCAATTAATCCTGAAACTCATCGGCAGATCAACTGAAAATGAAAATCATTAGCTGTAGCCACAAACCAGAGTACATTGTTTTAACAATGATCCCCTTAGAACAGCTGCCGTCTTGAGTTGTCCAATGACGTGAACGTGGCTTTAACACTGGTGGATGGTAAATAACAGTTGGAATTTCTCAATTATACTTTCTCACATATTACATTGATATTTTAATCAGGACTGAGCAGCAAATTGCTCTGTCAGTCTGTAAAAATATATTTGTTAATTCAGTTGTTCTAAAGGTGGGGCCCCCAGGGGTCCTTGAGGGGGTTCCTGGGCCTGTCGACAGCACCATTAGAAGATATGTGTTATAATCATTAGACATGACTTATTAGTTTGTTATTATTGCTGTAACTGCTCAGAAACATCATGTTGCTTTTAATATAATTTGAATGAATTGATTTAGTGAGTATCATAGTAATGTGGCTGTTATTACTAAATATGAACAATATATCATGTGGTTTTCCACATACAGATACAAACAGAGGTTCTTTGACTTCCTGGTAAAATACTGATAAAATATCTGTTAATAATACAACTATTAAACCCTGAAGTAGGAGGTGTACTTTCTCCATTGTCATATTTTTCACCCATACGATTTTAAAGATCCCAACATGTGATCATATATTGGAATTAGAATATGTCTAATGTAAAGTCATATCATTTTAATAATATTTGGTAGCACTCAGTGGGTGAACAGTTCAACATGTTTATGTATCTCTTTGATGGAACAGTGACCCTCTAGAAAAGTTCTAATGGGCCCATTTGACTGCCGGCTCAAACACTGTAATCATCATCGCTCAGGGGCTATCCAGTGTAAGTCTCATAATGCAGCTATTATTGCATTTAGTCATTAATTTGATCAAACAGACTCGTAAAAGATTAAAATCTCTATTAACCTATTTGGTTTTAATCACAGATTAAATGGTTTATAAACCTGGTTTTTATGGTGCCATGCTCAGAGTTTGGATCTATAAAATTAAGGTGTCTGAAACCGACAAAACAACAATTTCCTTCATCTATTTGTGCTGTTTACTGGCTCTTCTACAGGCAGTGTAAACAGCCTCTTAGGTACCTCAATAAAAAAAGGCCTGTTGTTTCTCAGCTCGTACTATATTGTCAGGCAGGGCTGCAGCTGGAGGGAGGAGATGATACTACACCATGTTGTGTCTTCACTGCTGAATTTGTTCTGAGTTGGTGTTTCTCTTGCAACATACAGTATCTGCTCCCTTTCCTGCACAATTATGTCATTTCTTCTTAAGTTCAAGAAACACAATCAGTGATTTAACATCCAGTCTTTGATCTGCCAAACTTCATGTCTTTGTCTGTGCTGGACAAAATCATTCAAGCTCTCAAAATCTCTTGGAAATATTTTTGTTGAAACAACCTCATTCCAGCTGCACTAAAAATATCATCGACTTCAAGCGTTGTCATGCGGTCTCGGGCTACACAAGTTCGGTTTGAACATCAACTCCAAAGTTTCCAATTAGATTGACAGCGTTTTGCAGGGTGAGTGTTCAGATCTTAGCATGAGGTTGAAATTCAATGATTTGACTACAGCTTGCTTATTTAGCCCCTAATTCAACCACAATCTCCATCAAGAAAGACTTGGCTCCATTTGACTTTAAACTCTGTGCTGAGGTAAAAATAGTCTTTAACACTGCCAAAGAGTTTACAGTCAGGAAAACAGCATTGTTTAGAAAGCTTAATGAGACCTGAAGCTCATTCACAAACTGATTTTGAAGCTGAAGCTCAGAAAGGAAAAACAGTAAACCACAAATGTTGTCTCAAAAAGATAAGAAAATACATCAGATAGTTGCACAATCACGTGTGTTAGACAATCACTTACTTTTGTGGTGTTGAACTCTGAAAACTGAGAAAATGGAGATGAGTTTTGTCCTCAGATTTTACTACGAAACACTAATGCCAAAAATGTAATCCTACCAAGAAAGCATTGCTCCCGGCTCAGAGTCATCGTGGCGAGGACTGTTGTCTCAGCCTGGACTCTCATTGTACATTAAACACCACTTCAGAAATGACTGACCTGAGGGGACCATGAGGGGACAAAGTCTCAACACAGAGCACTCAACTGTAATAATGTGTTTTTTAAAACTACTGTGATTGTCGCACATGAATGTCATTGAAAACAGACAGGAGGTGTTTGGATTTTCAGTCCTAGCAGCCCTGATGTTATTCTCTTAGCCAGTTCAACTTTGTATCAGAATGATGTAAAGAAAATATCTAATTGAGATTTTTCTGACGAATATTGCAATTTAACTGAAATAATTAGAGGGTATATTTGCCATTATGTTAAGATATTCAAATTCAATCATGACAAAAAAAGTTCAAATGGCACCCAGAAGAGTGTATAGCTCCACTAAGTCCAAACAATCCAAACAATCCAAACAATTGACGAATACATTGCAATGTTACGGAAAGTGATAAAAAATTCCTGGATCTGCCCCCTTTAACCAGATCGGCATCAACATGTAATGAGTTCGTCCCTGGCCCACACCCCATCCCCCCACCAAGTTTGGTGCAAATCGCTTCAGTAATTTTCTGCATAATCCTGTTGACCAACCAACCAACTAATGAGGCTACTGTTGACACAGATCTGCTTAAGATGAATCCTTCATAGCTTTGAATGCTGTATTCAGATCTTTTTCAAGTTATAATGACACTGAAACCATGATATGATGTGGTTAAAAGCTCAACTTTCAGATTGGGACAACTCTCCTCCAGCTATCTTCGCCAGATAGCTAGCCTGTCTGAAACATGGGGCAAACACTTGGCTAGTTTATGTCCAAAAAGACTTTACTACTCTTTTTGTCTTTTATAAACAACCAAAAAAAACACCAAAAGACTCCTTATTTTTTCAAAAAAGGTACTAAATGGTGGTTTTTCTTCCTCAAAAAAATGTTAAGCTGAACGTAAATGTCCAGACATCAACATACAGAGACCGTATTAGGTTTTTGTTGTTTTGCTATCCCACAGTTTTCATTATAGACAGTAAGATCGACAGTCGCTGGATTTTAGATGTGGTCAGACAATACGTCTTACAAACCAGTTGTGACGAAGCATAAACTGGCTCTTAGTGATAAGGTGCTTTTCATCTGAATGCTCACAGAAGCTCATCACTGGGCAACAAAACAGCAGTGGATAACCCACTTCACCCTGCGCTATTTTCAGACTCTTTCATTGATATTATGCAACACCGTGACTACAGGCTGGAGGTAAGGTTTTCCTAATGGAGATGACATTATGAATGATGTCTTTCTGTCCCCGCATGTGCCCCGCTTGTAGCCATGGATCACAGAACTTGTCGTGCACCTCCGCAGCGATCACACCAGTCGTTTGTGAAATCACAGCGGAGGTTGCACATCATGTGAATGTAAATGCGCATAGCATGAGAAAGACAAATTAAAGGTCAGTTTTTCTTTCCTCCAATCTCCGCTTCTCTTTCTCTTTTCACTTCTACACAGCTTTGGAAAATTCTCTGGAGTTTATTTGTAGATTGAAACAGTGGAGGAGAATGGCTTGTAAGTGTTTCCAGCCATTTGGGTTTTTCCACCGTTTCCACTTACTTTTTGGTCTAGTCAGCACCTTTAGGACATATACCTTCTTTGGTTGTCAGTTGCAGATAGGTTCTGCATTCATTCCTCTCATGCAGGCCTTTCATTATCACATTGTGAAATTGCAAATAATGTCCGCTATAACTAATTGTTTCCTCTCTCGGATGGCCACAGTGATGACAAATAGAAGGAGCTGGGATAAGAAACAGATAATGGTTATTTATTCTGGAGAATGAGCAGTGCAACATCAAAGGCAGGATTAAGAGTTGGGTAGAAGAAGATCTGACAAGAAGCGCAGTAAGATGAGAGGTATTGTGGGACTTGAAGCATTAGGCAGCTGGATAACAAGCAAGAGAAACTCTGTGAACCCAGGCACTTGAGAGTCCCAGTCAAGTTAAAACAGAAATACAGGGAATACATCTTCCCATTCTGGAACCACTGAAGTGGGTGTTGAGTCATTTGACTGAACAGAGGATGAGGAAATGTCAAGAAACTGTGCCTGTGTGAATACACGTCTCTCGAGGGAATAGCAATAAAGACTTTGCTGAAAGGCCTCGAGATTTATGTGACTTGGACAACTGATCGGCACTGAGATGCTCGGCTGCAGGAAAGAGGAGAATGAGAAGTGGAAAGTAGCTTGTAGCAGCCACTGTCCCAGTGGATAAAACCACTACAGCACTGTCACTTAGTCCCTCGCCAGTGTGCAGTGGTCTGGCAAGAGTCGGCGGGGCTTGACCCGGGGGTAAACCACGAACTGCCACCAGAGAGGGTCACAGTGGGGAAAGCAGGGCAGCTGTCAGGGCAGCACGATAAAGTACACCACAGTAAAGACAAGCTATTTTACAGTCGCTTGCCCTTTATGTCATTCTTGAACTTTGGTTCTTGGCAGTTCCCATTTTTCATGATTTCCCTTTCTGTTTTAAAGCTGCAGTCAGCTGCACCAAATGCTTTTTCTTTTTGGTAACTTGGCATTTTTTAAAACCACAGTCCTTTGACCTATATGGCCTAAGCCAGCACTGGTGAGTCTAGTATCCTCTGGACTGGACTGATTTCTGTCATTAGTGCTGCAACTAATGATTTATTTCATAATCAAATAATCTATTGATTTGTTTTTAAGCCATGCTAGCAGCAGTGCTCCAGGGATGGCAACGTCTGAGTTATTTCAGTCTTGACCAAACCGACAAAGCCTGTATCGTGAACTGCCATGAAATCTTGCACAGGCATTCATGGGCCCAGAGGATGAATTATGATTACTTTGGTGATCCTTTGACTTTTCGTCTTTAGGTTGGACAAAATATTAGAGACACTTTTCTAAGAAGCTGTACAGGTGTACCTGATAAACTAGACACTCAGTTTATGTTCACAGGGGTGGTGTTTAAAGGTGCTATATGTAAGTTTTTGCTATTGCTACATAGCCAACGTTAGCATTAACAGTAGTTTACTTACTAGTCTGGATGTAACACTTCTTTTCTTGTACTGAAGTTAGCATGCTAAATAGCAAGCCTCGTACCGTCCTGTCTCCTACTAAGCGTCCAGTTTGCCCTCAGTTCAGGCATGAGTAGATGAAGAAGTATCTTAGCTTGTAAAGGCGTTAATGGCTGAAGTCTTGGCAAGTGACCATCATCACCGCCATCGCCACTGGCAAGAAACCATGTTCATCGACAGATAGAAAAGTACATATAGCACCTTTTAAAGGAAGGCAGGTGAAGTTGATATAATTTCATGTAGTAGCTGGAAAGTTGAGCAATAAATTATTTTTAAAATGATTAACAGTTAAGCCCAGACTTCTTTCAGTAAGGAGTCAATGCACTGTAGTCACATGTAAACATGTCCACTTGATCATGGAGAGGGCCCTGAGGCATGGCCCGGATGGGGCTTCATTTTGAACACTGCTGGTTCCTCCAGCTGGGCCTACAACCTCGACAGCATCACACACTCTGCCCCACCTGTGACAATAAACAGCTTTATTACCTCCTCCCGTCCACTGACGCCATTTAATGCTTTCACTGGGATCATCCTGAGGTCAAATCCAACCAGAGATGTTTTACTTTCCCATGCATTTACACTAAACCCCCAGAGCTGACCTGGAACAGAGTGTCATACATTTTTAGTGGTATGCAATCAATCTGCAAATATGACATACTTGTACTTGAAGCAGCATTGTTTGCACTGTAGTTTGTACTCATTAAACCAGAGGGAGATTTCATTTGGTGCCACTTTCCCATTTTGAGACATGTAATCCAAGTCAAGTTACCTCTGCTAAATTAAGTCATACAGCTACTTTAATGATGGTAACTGCCTCAGGTAGAGATGATTTGATACCACTTTGTCATTTTCAATACCACAACATGGTATGAACATTGAACATTGTCAAACCCTTAAATCTCATAATTCCACCAAAGAATGACTGAGTTTTGAAGTACGTAGAGCTTTTTGCAGTGGCAAGGTAATGACATATGACCCACATTCGACTTCTATATATCAACTTTTTCTGAGTGTTTTGAAAGGACTTTACTGACATACTTGTACAGTCATTGTGCAGCCATTTCAAGAGGAAAAGTCTGGAGGAAGTTTCTTTGGTTTTGCTGCTCTGAAAACTCTTTGTTGAGGTCTTTGTTTGTTTGGACAATTTCACCATAAACAGTATCTCTCCAACACTTGTAGAAGAACACGACAAGTGTTTTGTCACGTTTGTAGTGTTGATAATTGATTACGCCCCCTGAAACACTCCTATGACACACTTTGAATCTGTCATTTTGCTTTTTACCTCTGTCTTGCTGATGTTGTTGTTGTCTTTACTTATATTATAAGCATTTACACGTCATGCCAGGATAAAATATGAGATGAGAGTTTTTTGATATAAGGTTTTGGGCCACTAAAAACAAATTTTCATGATACAGTTATTATGGTCAAAAATATTGCCATGAATAGTGTTATCACAATAATAATTAAACTCTTCTGAAATACTGCAATTAGACCTTAACTATAGTAAAATTACTTCACACCATGATTATTACCTTGGACCTTATCTAACCTGGACTGAGTTTGTTCACATGTGAGTTTGTTGGACAATCAAATACACTTAAAATAGGGGAAATTATTTCAAAAGCAGCATATTGTCTGTGTCTGTTAGATTCTATGCATCCATTCACATGTTCATACATGTTCTGATTTCTTTCGGATGCAGTAAAACCTGTAAACCAGCATATTCCTACTATCAGACTGTCTTCCCTAGCCTCAGGGCTTTACTCAGACCCATACACATACATACATATTCTGTACTTCCAGTCTTCCATACACATGTCCGTAGCATCTCATGTACAGTAGCAAAGATGTACATCTACATTCTAGGTTCATTGAGAAGTAAATGAATGGTCAGACGGATTAATTGATCTCAGATGTGTGAATGGTTCCAGCCCTG